TTGTCGTTGCCTCCTGCCATGTTTAAAGTGACACAAGTCATGGTCTTTCCACAAGAAAATCCACGGCTGGAATCACCTCACAGGTCTGGGTGAGCGTCTGCCAGTGACTGCGAGTGGCCTTGGGCTGTTCGAGCTCTGCTGTAGCAGAGGTCATCTTCATTGCTGTGTCTATTCTGCTTTTCCTCTATGGGCCGGGCCGGGCTGGGCCGGAGTTCTGAGTAAGGAGAGCAAAAGAAAGGTGTGTTCAGAGTTCTTGGGTTGTTTTTGTGGTGCTGAGCTGGGCAGGCCCTCCGTCCACTGGCTGCGCTGGCTGCGCCCCAGCCCTCGTGTCTTTAAAGCGTTACTTGGTAAGCTTTCGCTGCAATCTTTGAGATGCCATCAGGCCCACGGCACAGAGGGACCTCACTCGCAGGAAGCCTTGCCCAGATGTAGGCTTACTCTGCCGAGAGCGCACTGCTTCCAAAGTTGGCCAAAAGACAATTGCACTGGCTTACTTATTCTTAGCCTGTGTTTATACGCATGGGAAAAAGTGTTGAAATAACTCAGACCTCCTAGTCACTGCCCTTCTGCTGCTGACTGTAATCTTACACCATCTGCCTTGGTGCAGGCGCAGCCAGTGAGCGCTGCAAGGCACAGTCCTGTCCCGGTGCCTGGCAGACACTGACAGGGAGTAGGTGCTCTTGAGTGAGTGATTGGCCACTTTCCCACTTCCTTTTGCTATGACCCTTACTCCTCTACAGAGTCATCTTTGGATTAAGGTTCTGGGAGAAGAAGCAGAAGCTTTTTGATGGATTTCTGCAGAAGCTTCAGGAGTGTGAAATACCCTGCTGCCCTAAGTAGAGGGCGTCAGTCCTTAACCCTGGAGTCTGGGGAGGGGTTTAGCTGGTTGTCAAACTGTTGAAGATAACATGTAAGAGTCTGCTGGGGTAGGCAGAAGGAGTTTTTGTTGAGGCAGCATAGTTTATAGACTTAGCTTGCTTATTTATGTATTTATTTTGAGACAGGTCTCACTGTGTAGTCCAGGCTGGCCTTGAGCTTACCATGTAGCTAAGCCTCAAACTCATAGAGATCCTCCAGTCTCAGCCTCTCAAGTGCTGGGATTGCAGGCTCACGCTCTCTGCACAGTCATCTTTCCCAATGGGTCTGTGGACCTCAGATGACCAAGAACCACAGCTTTAGTGGTTGTGGATGTGAAGCTTCAGAAGTCAAGAAAACATTGGATCGAATGGCTCTGGAGGGATGACTTCACTGGGATGCTCTTTTTTTTTTGCCTTTGTGTTTTTTGAGACAGGGTCTCGCTATACAGTTCAGGCTGGCCTTGAGCTCACTTTGTAGCCCAGGTTGGTCTCGAACTCGAAATAATCCTCCTGCCTTAGCCTTTCAAGTACTAGGATTACAGCGTGAGCCACCATGCCTGGCTAAGATGCTTTTATTTGTTATAAACAAGTTCAGACGAGTGCATATGAAGAAGGAATTTATTGGTTTATGTAATTGGAAAAAATTAGATTTTTCTTTCCCTTTGTTTTTTGTCTAAATTGTCTTTATTCTTAAACCTATTCTCTCTCTTTCTCTCCGTCTCTCTCTCTCTCTGTCTCTCATTTTTTTTCTAAGAGTAGGAAAATTTACTGGAGAAAAGGAATGGGGAATAGGAATAACTCCTGAGACAAGAGGGGTTCCGCATGGGTTCCGGTCTCTTTATCTTGGAAAAAGGGTACCAGTCTGCAGTGAAAGTTTGTTGGTTCTAGAGAACCTAACAGAAAAGTTAGTGTCTCGGTTTGCATTTTGCTGCTGTTACAAGATATCAGAGGCTGGGTATTCGGTGAAGAGAAGAGGTTGACTTGACTTGGTTCTGAGGGCTGAGAAGCCAGGGATGGGCACTTGCATCAGGTGAGTGATTGGCCTCCAGCTCCATCTCAGCAGAGAGGAAGTGAAAGTGGGTTATGTAGGAGCTGCAGGCACTGGGGCTGCCCTGCCTGGTACCTGCCCTGCCGAGGGAGGACTCCCTGATCCAGGAAGACATTCATCTGGTGACAAGGCCTAAGTACCTCTTATAAGCCCTCCACCCAGCACTGTTACTTGGGAGTCACATTTCTTCATGAGTTCAGCAGGGATACACCATATCCAAGCCACCGCAGGTGGTGTTTTCTTAATACCTGGCAGCTGTCCCAGAAAGTGTTCTGACCACTGTCTTGTGTCCCCCAGGAGAGAGTCAGCAGCAGTCAGGTTACATGGGCTGAGTAGAATTAGCATGCAACTGGGAGCGGAATTTTCCTAAAGGAAGGTAGTGTGTGCAGAGACCATGTCCTACGCAGTGACTAAAAAGCTGAGGACAGATAAAGTAGGTAATGAGCAGGAAAGTACACATTAAAACTAGAGTCAGAGAGTTAGAGACGCCTAAGAGGTTCTATGTGCAAATTACACGTTTTCCTATATGGTTTCAGTTTTTTATTCTGAAAGTTTTATTCATTTGTTTATTATTCACTTCATGAATATACTCATACCTCAGTACTCATGAATTCTTTCCAGAACTCCTGATGAGTGCTAAAATGGACAAGTAGCAAGGGAATTTTTCCCAAGAGCAATAATGTAATTAGAAATAATTCATGAGCCAGGCTTGGTGTCGGATGCCTGTAATCCCAGCACTTGAGAGGCTCAGGCAGGAATATGGCTGTGAGTTCCCGGCCAGCCTGGGCTACTTAATGAGGCAAAGACCAGCCTGAGCTACATAGCAATGTCTCTAAGGAAAACAAAACCCCATGAAAATTGCCTAGAACACTCACGTTTTACCGCGTATTAGCTTTGTACACTTAGTGGTGTCACTGTTAACCTTCCTGTGACCCACGATTAGCACTTAAGATGCACAGAAGCACAAGACAATAACCAAGGAGAGTGTGGGACTGTGCCCTGCTGTGAGCCCAGGGCAGGCTGGTGGCTGGGAGGGGCTGAGTGTGGGAACCTGCTGTGGTGCCCTTAGCTGGGGATTCAGCTCCCTTCATGGAGCTTCCATTCTGGTGAGAAGGGCCCAACTAAGGTGACTGGGGCCGAATGTCCTGCAGGACAGCAGGGAGTGGGAGGGGCATGGTCAGAGGGGCTCACTGAGAAGGTGATGTCTGAATGAAGGCAGGAGGAGGCAAGGAGGGAGCAAGACTCTTGGAGATGTGAGGAGCAGAGTCCTGAGTGCAGCAGCAGAAGGCCAGCGTCAGGGCTCGGTGCCGGAAACCAAGGGGTTGGGCAGGAGGGAGGAGGAGGCCGTCTGAGGCTGGGGGAGTCGGCTGTGGTCAGCAGTGTGGCCTGCATAGGGTCTTCAGCAGAGGGAAAGCAGCCTTAGTTCGAGGTGTTGGAGAGGAGCAAGGGGAGAGCTGGGAGGAGGCTGCTGCCACTGCAGCCACAGGAACCCGGGCAGTGCACAAAGGTGGCACAGACCTGGGATGGAGGCCAGAGAGGTGGCAACCTGAGGCCGGCTATGCGGGCACTGCATGGGAGGCAGTGCTGACTCCGAGGTCGCAGGCCTGCACTGCTGACCACTGTAGCTAAAAGAGCTGGAGACGGCCAGGGAGGAGAAGGGTTGGAGATACTAAGTATAACAGGGATAAGACCTCCGGGCAGAATGGCCCAGTGGGCTGTGCGCATGCAAGCGCGAGACTCAGGGCTGGGCTTCAGGTTAGTGTTCAAAGCCAGGAGCGTGGGTGAGCTCTTTGAGGGATGGGAGTGCACGAGGAAGACACACATATTTCCCCAGGACCTGGTACAGCAGGGTGGAGCTGGGAAGAGGAGCAGGTACAGGACGACGCCCAGAAAGAAGCAGCTGGGGTGGGGGCGAATACAAGCAAGGCACTGGGGGGGGGGTAGCGCACCAGCAGGGGCGAGTGATGGGCTGGCTGTCAGGTGCTGTGGTTTCCCAGGAGCAAGAGTGCGCCACAAGGAAGACTGCAGTCAGCCCGGCCGGGTTGGTGGTGAACATTCTAGTTGACTAGGCTTGGTTGGTGGAGATCGCTTGAGGCCAGTCCCTAGTGCATCTCCAGAGACCGACCATCACCAATTTATCTGATTTATTTAACTGTGCTGGGACCTGAACCCAGGGCCGAAGCGCTGCCACTGAGCTGCAATTCCTACCCAGAAGCTGCTTATTGGTCAAGTAATTATTCAGTGACTACTTGTTGATGATTCTGTCACTCTTTTCTTTGCTGTTGTACATGTCATGGATTAAAAGTTATGCTTCGCAGTCAAGGTGAATGTGCAGGTATGCTCCAGCACTTCTGTGTTAGAAGTAGGATATACGGATTTCCTTTGGAATGCCTATTTTACATGAAGTGAAAATGTTACTAAAAAATTAGTTTTGTTATATTGTTATTTCTGTACTTGGAGGTTTTTTTTTTTTTTTTTTTTTCAGTTTTATCGGTACCAGGGATGGAACTCACGACTGCCTGCTTGCAAGGCAGGTGCCTATGCCGCTGAGCTAAATCCCCAGCCCCCTACTTGGAGGTTTTAAAGCAATTTTTTTTAAATTGGTACCAGGGATCAAACTCAAAACCACGCGCCTGTAAGGCAGGCGCTTATATGCTGCTGAGCTAAATCCTTAGCCCCTTAAAGCAATTTTTAAAAAGAAACCACAAATTAGCCTAGAAAACAAGGAAAACATGGAACCAAAAATCTGTAAATGGGGACAGGAGGAAGGATCAAAGGGAGGGTACAAGTTTGCTACGACGAAAGTGATGGTCACATGTATTTCAAATGCACCTATACAATGTAATGTAAGAAAATCAACCTAATTTCATGAGGCTGAGATCTCTCTAAGTAGTTAATGCCAGCTTGTTGTTGATTGACATACAACTTGAAAGTAGAAAAGAAGGCTTTATGCTGAGCCCGGTGGTGATGTAGCCTGTGACCCCAGCACTCAGGGGTGTGGTGTTGGCAGGGAGTCCAGATGTACTACTGAGCTACAGCCCTACTCAAAAGATCTCATTTCTCTGATGAAAGTGTATGCTTTTCTTCTTTATTAGAAATTCATTGAATTTGAAGACTCTCAAGAACAGGAAAAGAAGGATTTACAGACCCGTGTGGAATCTCTAGAATCTCAAACAAGACAACTTGAACTCAAAGCAAAAAATTATGCTGACCAGAGTAAGTAAGACTACCTCTGCTCACAAGCACGCGTAAGGAACGGGCCTGGCGGTGCCATGGCTCGTGCTAACAGCTGGCGGGGTCCACCTAGGCTTGCAGTGTTATCCCAGACTCAGGAGGGGACCTAGGTCCTAGGTGAGTTCCTCTGAGTTTACGTCCCCCCGTGTGTGTACTCGGGGTGTGCCATGGCCGCCTGGCAGTGCGCACTTATGCTGCAGCCGCTATGCAGATGTGTGTCGGGGTCACGCCTCATTTTGACCAAGTACACAAAATTCCATTGTTTCTGCATTGTTTTGAAATTTAAAAACATAAGAGAAATTTGAGCTTTGAAGTATGTATAAAAAAATGACTGAAGTCTTTTTTGTTCCCTTCTAATGGAAAGCTAAGGGCACTCAGGGGATCAAAAGTTCACTTTTCAGATTCACTTCAGTTTTAATACAATTTCAGATATTTTTGACTTTTATTTTGTGGAACAAGGGATTGAACCCTGGACCTTGTGCATTGGAGGCAAGAGCTCTACCACTGAGCCACACCCCCAGCCCATTGTTCTTGACTTCTATAATAACTGTTCCAAACCTCAAAGATGCCTTTCCCTTTCAGCTGCTGAAGAGGAACCAGATCAAGTGACAGTTAGAAAAGCAGTGTGAAGCTTCCTGACCTGTTTCCACATCTGCTGTAGCAAGGCAGGGGGCTTTGCACTTTCCCTTCCTAGTACTGTACACTTGGAATCCCAGGGGGTGAGAGGTCTTCACCCATCATCCACGAACTGGAGGATTGGGAAGCTTTGATGGACTCCGCAATGGACCCGCTGTTATGGCCCTGGAGTCACATTACTGTGGGTGCCAGTCATCTGGAGGAACAGTTTTTTGGTGATAACAAGCTTTTGGTATATTTTATGAGTCAAGCATTCTCTTTTTAAAGAAGAAAATTAAGACTGGGTGCAGTGGCACACACTTGTAATCCCAGCACTCAGGAGGCTGAGGCAGGAGGATTGCCACAAGTTCAGGGCCACATAGTGTTTAGCCATTCTGAACTGCATAGGGAGATCCTGTTTCAAACAACAACAAAAACATTGAAGATAATGTTTTAATCCAGACTTGAGTGTGCTTTTATATTGGGGATTATTTGATATTTTAGAACCAAACACTAAAAGCACAGTGGCAGAACTAACCAGCTTTTCTTTATTTTAATATGTTAAATTTTTTCCTTGATTTCTAAGGTACCAAGTTTTTAGTAGAAAATTTTCTTTTAATTTGGAATGAAATGACTTGATTGAAAAAATGCTTTATATGCATTAAGTCATCTGCTTCTGTGCTAGGAAAGATACTGTAGAAAGAATTACCTTATGCTTGATATTACATTTTTGAACTCAATATATTATTTTATATTTAAAGAAGATAACTGCTGCTTTTTTTCACAAAAGTAACTAAAGGAAGTGAATGCTGATGTTTTTTCTTGAACACAGTAGCCCTTTTATAACTAAAGTTGAAATTCTGCATCTTCTAGCAAGCACAGCCCAGCACTGATAGCCTGGCCATTCGAGGTCCTGGGTTCTGTCCCCAGCTCTGACGCACAAAGAAGCAAAAGCAGATGTAACCAACAGGGGAGTTTCTTAATTAAGGGAAGCAGTGACTAGAGAGGACTATTCAGAGGCTCACAATTTGTCTTTTAGTGTCCTAGATTTGTTTTTCAGTCCATTGAGTCAGATCTAGCTTTTTTTTTTTTTTGTCTTTTTCGTTTTTATCGGTACCAGGGATCGAACTCACGACTGCCTGCTTGCAAGGCAGGCACTTATGCCGCTGAGCTAAATCCCCAGCCCCCAGATCTAGCATTTTTTGAATTCTTGGCGTCTGTGGCCCTCATCCTCTTGTTTGTTTCTCTGGAAATGTTGTGTGTTATATTTTCATTTTAATTCAAAGCTTTGCTCCCCAGTACTAAGGACTGAAGCCAGGGAGCACTGAGCTGCACACCCCTGTCTGCTTTACATTTTATTTTGAGACGATCTTGCACTGTTGCCCAGGCTGACTTGGAGCCTTGGTCCTCCCACCCCACAAGTGGCTGGGATTACAGGTGTGCACCACTGTGCAGCTCTCTCTGCTTTTGCTTAGAAACGTTTCCAGCATACAAAAAAAAAAAAAATTGGTATATTTGTTATCTGTGTAGCCACTGTCTAGCTTTCTTTCAGAGTTTTATTTCTCCATGTGGGTGTGGACACACACACATGCACGCGCGCACACACACACACACACACACACGCACACTGACACACTGCTCTGGTCTTTGGGCTCTGGACTGGCAGCTGCACGCTAGGTGGCGAGGACAGGGCCAGCTGCTGTGTTTAGGGCGCAGGTCCTTTTTAAAATGTAGCCACAATGCGTCCAAGTTCTGCTCCAAAGCCCACTTCCTATGTCTAAAGGGGAAATTCTGGTTGCGGTTATTTACTGTCTGAGAAGCAAGAAAAAGTAAAGAAATGGAAACTGAATTAAAGGACACACTACAGGTATTTGATTGTGTGGAATTTATCAGTTTGTGGTATGATTTAACAACAATAAAAAATTGATTTTTGGAGATTTCTGATGGTTCTATTTTTAAAAATTGAACATGGAATATTTTTTATTTTTCTAACAAAGCTTTTAAAAGCATACTGTATACTATTTCCTACTTTAACGTTAATTAACATTCGTTAAGTTAACATTCGTTAATTAACATTCGTTAAGTTAACATTCGTTAATTAACATCCTGCAAGCTTTAAAGAAGAATATGAAATCTATCTGATATGAAATAAGAAATAAGGAAGTTGTGATTTGCGAAAGTTTAGTTTGGTGCTTTTCAGGTAATCAACTCTGCCGTTCCTAGTATGACAGTGATGTCAGGAAGTATTTTTTGTATTCATTGTTTCTGTCATAGTCACTATTTTTCTATTGCGAGCCAAATGTCACCATCAGTGAGTTGGTAAATCTAGACATTCTAATATGGTGAAAATATCAGAGGAGGTGAAGGCTGGGGAGGAGGGAAGGGTGACTGAAAATGATCTAGGTATGTCCCTGCTCCAACTCCCCAAATGCATGTAAATGTCACCTCCTGAAAACAGGAACCAACAAAGGAAAAACACAGCTCCCCTGAGAGCCACGGTGCACAGCTGTAATCCCAGCCCCTCAGGAGACTGTGGTGGGAAAATGGGGAGTTCAAGGCCAGCCTGAGCCATTCAGGGAGACCCTGTCTCAAGACAAAAAATAAGGGCGGGGGACGTTGCTTATCGGCAGCACACCTCTGGGCTTGAGCCCCCAGGCCCAGCGCACAGAACCAGACCCCACTTCTTGTAGGAGGCCTGGGGCTCCCAGGGGTGGTGGTACAGAGAAGTGGGCGGTGGTCTTTAGGTCCAAGAATTCATGGTTTTGCTGGGGCGCGGGAAGGGAAGAGGCTATTAGGGTGTTTTCCGTATGTGTCATATTCTTACATCATTGCAGTTAACGTACACTTATAATTTTGTACTTTACTTTAGATTGTTGATGTTATCTTTTCCTGATTGTGTAATCTGTACTATGTTTTTAATGTTGGCATATATTGAGCATCTGAAGTTATGCCATCAACTAATAATTCTGGTTTTTCTCAGGGACTCGTGCTTTCTTTTTTTCCCTCTAAAGGGATTGATTGATTGATTTTTCGGAATTTAACTCAGCCTCACGCTTGCTAGGCAGGCACTGTGCTGCTGACCTGTATCCTGGCCCTAAAGAGCATTATTAGTGACCATTTCATTTGTATCTTGCCTACTCAGAAACAAAGTCAAAGTTTGTAACAGCTTGTTTGGATCTTACCTGGTTAGGCACACTTAAATTCTTTTCTTCCTAGACCTCGTTTATACGTGTATAATGTTCTTGAAAGTTGCCTCAAATTCCTGTGAAATGAAAGGAATGAATTGGGATAAAAATAGGCGAGGGCCGAGGATCTGGCTCAGCAGCATAGCCCCTGCCTGGCAAACGCGAGATTTTGAGTTTGATTCCTGGTACCAAAAAAAAGGTAAGAAAACTCAGAAAAAGACAGAACCCTGAGAAACTTACCCTTTTGATTGGTTGGACATTTTTCTAGTGTAGTGAATCATATTGCAGTAAATTTTTTACTCCTATCAGTTTTCCTTTGTTGATAATTTTCTTAGAATAAGAAAGCTGGTGGAGGAATAGGAATGGTTCTTGGTATATTATAGTGTTAGGCCATTTCTACTACGAACAGAATTGGAGAGTAAGAATTAGCAGCAAATTCTGTTTTGTTTATCGTACGTTAAGACTGAATCACTTTTTGTTTTTGGTGCTAAGGATCGAACTCATGACCTCGCATTTGCCAAGCAGGCACTTAGGCCGCTGAGCTAAGCCCCTGGCCCCCTGAATCACTATTGATAGCTTGTTGGCGCCCAGAATGGACACAGCAACATCTGTTACTATCTTCTCTCAGGAAACCCTGACTGCTGCCCAGTGCCTTGGGTTTATGGGTTACCGCCCCCAGGTGCCCAGCCATTGTCCTTCCTGGGAGGGAGATGGGAAGATGTGGAGGGGGCTGCGTGCTTTAGGCTCTGCCGGTCCTGCTCCACCGCCCTTTCCTGTGCACCAGAAGCCACTTTTCCCTTTAGCCAAATGGAAGAGCTTTGCTGCCTGTGGCGGGCGCTAGAGCCTTGCACTGGCCCAGTCCTTCTCCTCCCCATGGAGACAGCCGCCCCTCTAGTTTGGTACAAAGCTCTCAGCCTAGTAAAATACCGTGAAGCCTTCACTTTCAATGTTACTGTTAGGAGGAAAACACTTTAATAAACACTCAGGGGAAGGTGTGAACAGGTAGACGTGAGTAAGCACTGCCATCACTTTGTGTTTTAAAAGAATGTCTCCAAGCAGACATTCAGGTTTCATAAATTGCAAAGTTTCACAACACCAAAGAAGAATAAACCGAATAAACTGAACTTACTTGGTGTAGTTGTATACCACTTCGTATTTGAGAGGGGCTAGGCATTTTGCTAC